TAAGGTTGACAATTAACAGCTCCTCCTGCACCTCTGTGCCGACCCACAGTCCCACCTTCTTCACCTGCTATATAAATTGGTGTTCACTTTTCAAGTCTAATTGCTTGCCTGTCTATACTGGACCATATGGCCATAAGAAATTGGAAAGGAGTAGGCTATTTGGCCCCTCAAGCCTGCTTCACCATTCAGTAGGATCATGGCTGATCTGGCATTCCTCAGGAATACTTCCTGCACTTTTTCTGTAATCCTTGATTCACTGACTGATCAAGAATTCACCTCTCTCAGCCTTAAATATACAGAAAGCCTCAGAACTCATTGCAACAGAGATCTGTGTGGGCAAACAGTCACAACCCTCAGAGAAGAAATTCTTCCTTGTCTCAATCTTAAATTGAGACCCTTTTGTTCTGAGACAATGTCCTCTAGTCCTAAACAAAAATAACAAAAGAACTGTGGATGGTGGAAATCAGAAATAAAAGCAGAAAAATTTTCTAATCTCCAGTGAGCAGAGTCCAAGTCTGTTTAATCTTTGCTCACTGGTCAATCCCTTCATATCAGGGATCATCCGAATGAACCTTCTCCAAACTGTCTTCAATGCTAATATATATCTCCTTCAATAAGTGGACCAAAACTGCTCACGGTACTCTAGATGTGGTATCACCAGCACCTTGTACAGTTGTTGCAAGACTTCCCTGCTCTTATACTCCAACCCCTTTGAAATAACGGCCAACATTCCATTAGCCTTTCTGATTACTTCTTGCCGCTGTGTGTTAGCTTTCTGTGTTTTATGCATAAATCCCGGGAGCCAACCTCCCATCCATGGACTCCATTTACACCTCTCATTGCCGCGGAAAGGCTGCCAACATCATCAAAGATTCATCCCATCCCTACATTCATCTCCTACAACCTCTTCTGTCAGGCAGAAGATACAGAAGCCTGAACTCACACACCTGCAGGTTGAAGAACGGCTTCTTCCCTGCCGTTATTAGACTGATGAATAGACTGTCCAACTTCAAATAATGCTGATCTTATTAATGTGATCATGCCTAGTGCACAGTGTAAGCTGCATGACTTACCCTGTCCTAGTTTTCTTTTCATCCTATTATCTGTATGTCCTTGCTTACTATGATCTGCCTGTACTACTTGCAAACAAAACTTTTCACTGTACTTAGGTACATGTGACAATTAATCAAATCAATCAATTAAATACCCTCAAATCACTTTGTGCTGCCCCTGATGGAGCCAAAGTGAAAAACTTCAACCCCATATCTCTTTTTAATGATGTTCAAGCTTATCTCCATATCTCGCAGTATCAAAGATCCAAGACACAATATGCAAATTGCAGGATTGAACAAGCATTTGCCAAGCTGTAACTCTGGCTTATGTCTTTTACAAAACCAAAGATTCCTCCACAGAAGTCCAGACATGGCAAACCAGTGTGACATGAGGCCTGTGCCTGTGCCAACACACTCATATCTGCAGACAGACAAAAAAACAAAGAACAGTACAGTACAGGAACAGTCCCTTCAGCCGACCAAGACTGCATCAACACATGAGGCCTTTTCAAAATAAAAACCTTTCAGTTCTACGTGGTCCATATCCCTCTAATCCTTGGCCATTCATATATCTGTCAAGATGCCTCTTAAATGTTGCTATTGTATCTGGCTCCACCACCTTTTTTGGCAACGCATTCCTAGTACTTACCACCCTCTGTGTAAAAAACCTGCCTTTCATATCTCCTTTAAACTTAACTCCTTTTACCTTAAAGGTATGCTCCCTAGTAATTGACATTTCCACCCTGGGAAAAAAGACTCCAGATATCCATTCTATCCATGTCTCTCAATTTTGTAAACTTCTATCAGATTGCCTGAAGGGAGACAGACAGCAAGAAACTACAAGCTAGTTGGCCTAACATCTGTCATAGGAAAAACACTGGAATCTTTGATTAAGGAGGTTACAACAAGATACTTAGCAAGCCTCAATGCAATCAGGCAAAGTCTACATAGTTTTGTGAAACGTTCTTTGAGGATCACGGTGCATACAGTGTGCATTTCCACAAGGCATTTGATAAGGTGCCCCTACAAAAAAAATGAGAGCCTGTGGTTAACATATTAACAATGGTAGAGGATTGATTAGCTAACAGGAGGTAGAGAAAGGATGATAATCCAAATGTATAGTTGTTAAATTTACTGATGTTCATACAGATAGATAGGAAGAGAACATAAGGAGTCTGCAAAGGGTTATTAATAGGTTACGTTAATATGCAAAAGTTTGGCAACTGAACCATACGTAGGAACTTGTAAAGCTGTTGACTTTGGCAGGAAGAGTAGAAAAGGAGTAAATTATTTAAATGGGGAGGGATTGCAGAACTTGGAGATACAGAGAGATTTGTATGTCTTGGTACATGAATCACAAAAAAGTTAGTTAGGAGCAGCAAATGATTAGGAAGACAAACAGAATGTTGGCATCTATTACACATGGATTGGAATTTAGAAGTCAGGAGGTTTTGTTTCAGTTGTATTGTGTGCAGTTTTCTCCTTATCTGAGAAAGCATGTTGTGGCTATGTAGGGAGTGCAATGAAGGTTTACCAGACTGATTCTTTGGATGGCAGGACTGATAATATAAAGAGAGACTGGATCAGTTAGGACAATATTCACTGCAGTTTAGAAGAATAAGGGGAGATCTCATAGAAACCTATAAAATTCTAACAGGACTAAACAAGGTAGAAATATAGGAAGGATGTTCCAGATGAGCAGGGAATTCAGAAGCAGGGGTCACAATCTAAGGATACTAGGTAGGCTATTCAGGACTGAGATGAGGAAAAATGTCTTTACACAGACAGTGGTGAGGCTGAGGAATTCTCTGCCACAGAAAGCAACTGTGGCCAAAACATTGAATGTTTCAAGGAGTTAGATATAGTTCTGAGGGCAAAAGGGTTCAAACAGTATGGGGAGAAAATGGGAACTACATACAGAGTTGAATGAACAGCCACAATCAAATTGAAAGGTGGAGCAGGTTTGTGGGCTGAATGGCCTCCTCCTGCTCCTAGTTTCTACATTTGTATAATTACGTTGGGAACAATTCAGAGAAGGTTCACTCGACTAATTCCTGGGATGAAGGGGTTTGTCTTTTTCCATTTAGATAGAGATCATGGGTTTGACAGGTGCTACTGATGCAGTCTTATGAGGAAAGGTTGGACAGACTGGGTCTGTTTCCGTTAGGGTTTAGAAGAATGAGAGTGATCTCCTGAGAGTGATCAGGAGATCCTGAGGGAACTTAACAGGATGGAGGTTGACAGGAGATTTCCCCTCATGGCAGAGACGACAGCCAGAGGGAGGGGAAAGTTTGTAATCAATGAGCCTGTCCAGATGAGAATGCTGTGGGTCACTAACACCCCTAACTCCTGACCCAACCCCTCTGACTACATCCCTTCCTAAGCCCAAGCAAGCTCCTCACCCTGCCCGCGGATACCAATCTCATCCTCACTCTGCCTGTGTCCCACCTGACCTCTCCTAATCACACGTACTCATGACCGCAGCCCGTATTGACAGTATGACCCTAGCCCCGTTCTGATGCTATGAACCCAGACCCATCCTGACCCTACAACCCCAGCCCTGTCCCAACTCCATGCACGCAGCCCCATCACAACCCCAGCCCCGTCCTGACACTACAACCCCAGCCCTGTGCCCGACACTACAAATCCCAGCCCTGTGCCCAACACTACAACCCCCAGCCCCATGCATAGCCTCGCCCTGACCACACAAGTCCAGCTCCGTCCCAACCCCACAAACCCATCACCATTCCAACACCACAAGCCCAGCCCCACCACCTCTAGGGGTTCTGCCCCTTGTTACCCTGCCACTCCTGACCCCCTTCGCTTCCAACTTCTCCTTTTCCAAATTTGTCCCCATCCAAAATCCCACCCATTCCCTCTTTGCATCTCTGTCCTCCTCCTTGCTCCACCTTCTTGCCTCTCCTGACTCCTTCCTCTTCTAGCTCCTCCCCTCCCTTAAGGTCTCCAGCTCTATACTCTCTTCCTACTCCTCGCTCCCTCTCCACACACCTCCTCACTCTCTCTCACATCCGTCCTCTCACCCTCTCCTCACACCCTCTCTCTTCCCTTCAGACCCTCCTGCCTGAAAAGAGGGTGAAATTAGTTCCTTTCCAAATAGCCATTAGTCGGACCACAACTGAATGGGGTCAGTCGGTCAGAGGAGACATCAGGGGGTCTGGTCCCTGTTCCCAGGCCAAGACAGAAGTTCCCAGTAACTGTTGCTGTCAACATCATCAGACCATTCTAAGGTGCAAATCACTTGGGCAAATGAAACAGAAAGAAAGAGATTGGGTGGGTGGGAAAAATGGCAGCAGGGGTTTGACTAACAGCCAGGAACAATCTAATCCGATGGCTGCTCCCTATCCAATGGGTCAGTCAGCAGTCGGAGAGACTGAGTGAGGTTGAATAGGTTAGGCAGCCAATGACAGAGGACGTCAGGTAGGTGACCTTCTGGGAACACAGCCAATCAGACAGAGACGGCCAACTTGGCCAATGAAAGGGGAGGCTTTTAAGGTGAAGGGACAAGAAGTTTAGAGGGGATCTGAGGAAAAATGGTGGAGGATCTGGAATGCACTGCCTGGGAGGTTAGTTCTAGACTGTAGGGATTCTATGATTCTAGTTGAGGCAAGAAACTCACAACCTTTAAAAAAATACTTGGGTGAGCACTTGAAATGTCATAATATTCAAGGCTATGGGCCTAGTGCAGGAAAGTGGGATCAGTGTAGATGAGTTGGCACAGACTTGATGTACTGTATGATTCTCTGAACTTGTGGATGGATGGTCAATTAAACATTATTAGGCCAAAGGCCAGTTTAAATGGATCAAGCCCCACCTTCATAAAGGTTGATTGGTTGGTTTGGTGAGGTGGGCGTGGATGCCTGCTTCATTGTCCCCAAAGTGCCCCAAACACATACTCCCTTATGTTGGGGGAGAGCAGGGAGGCCTTACCGTTCTCTATGGGTACGTAGATGTTGAGGTAAAGGCAGTCTTCACTCTGCTCTTGGATGTAGGTGGCCACATCATCCAGGTTGGAGAGGAACCAGACGGGCAGCATGACCTCGGGCAGCATGCCATGGATGTTCTGTGGGCAGACAGGGGCAAATTGGGTGGCATTGCGCACGTCGGACCAGGAGGCAGGTGCCTCAGGAGGCTGGAAGCGGCGCCCACCAACAGGTGGGGTGGCAAAGGGCACCCCGAGGTACTGCACCACCGGGCCTAGGATCTCGTTGTTGAGCTCTTTCCTCACACCACGCAGCTTGCCATAGTTGGTGGTGACCACAGGAAACATCTCGTCCTGCTTCTGGCATGACAGGAGAGCAAAGCAGGTCATGGCCTCCAAAGCCCAGAGCAGGAGGCCCAGGTCGGAGGTGCGGCTCCTCAGGAGGGACTCAGGGCCCCCCTGGAACTGGGTGGCAGGCATTTCCCTTGTTGATCTCCCACCCCCCTCAGTGCTTCAGGCGAGTAAAGGTGGGGAGGGTGGGGGCAACCCAGTTGAGAGTCTCTTGCTGACGTCTCGTCTTCCAAGCCCCCTCTCAGTTGCTGCGTCGTACTGGTGAAGTGGTCGAAGTGGTCTCCCTCACTATCCACTGTTCGTACTCCATTCGGGGGGAGAGCCCCCTCCCCCCAGCCTCTCGATGCTGTGGTAACCCTCGTGGAGGTCAACGCCAGCCTTCTCTCATAGCAGCCCCCCACCCCAAGGGTATCGGAGCCTGCAACGAGACAAAGAGGAACTGTCATTCCCACAGTCAGAGCACGCATTGAAGAGCGAATACATAGCCCAGAGGCAAATCACCATATCCAAATCAACCACCCCACAACCTTGCCCCCAGCAACCCCCAACCCTAACTCTTGCCCAGCTTCCAGCTCCAAACACAACCAAGGCTCAGCCATCACTGTACCCCTCTCTGATCAGTTCCCATGGTGTCTACACAGAGTGATCCCTGGATCTGAGCAAATCCATTTGCTATGTGCTAATCAAAAGCTTGAGTGACTCATAGCAGTACAGATTCACAGGGTTAGTGGGAACTGCAGATGCTGGAGAATCTGAGATAACAAGGTGTAGAGCTGGATGAACACAGCAGGCCAAGCAGCATCAGAGGAGCAGGAAGGCTGACGTTTCAGGCCTAGACTGTTCTTCAGAAGAAAGTGATAAATACTAGCAAACTGCAGTTTGATATCTACACACAAACAGAGGGACGAACACACACACAAAGCCACAGGCGCGCACACGCGCGTGCGCGCGCGCACACACACACACACACACACACACCCACACACACACAGAGAGGAACAAATAGGTGCACACATGCACACACACAGAGAGGAACAAACAGGTGTACGTACACGCACACTCACACACACACAGGAATGAGCAGGCAGACACACACACACACACACACCAACAGGCAGACACGCACACAAACACAAACGGAGCATAAACAGGCAGGCACACACACAGACACTAATAGCCACATATGCAGAGGCACTAACAGGCAGAAAAATGCACAAAAGGTGGCATGGTGGCATGGTGGCTCAGTGGTTAGCATTGCTGCCTCACAGCACCAGGGACCTGGTTCGATTCTGCCCTCGGGTGACTGTGTGGAGTTTGCACATTCTCCCAGTGTCTGCGTGGGTTTCCTCCGAGTGTTCTGGTTTCCTTCCACAGTCCAAAGATGTACAGGTTACGGGGTATGGGTTAAATTGCCCATAGTGTCCAGGGATGTGCAGGCTAGGTGGGTTAGCCTTGGGAAATGCAGGATCAGAGGGATAGGGTAGGGGGTGGTTCTGGGTGGGATGCCGTTCAGAGGTTCAGAGGTTCAGTGTGGATTTCGTGGATCGAATGGCCTGCTTCCACACCATGGGGATTCTATGAAACACTAACAGGCAGACATACACACACCAGCAGCATACTACAACTTCCTAACAGTTGGCAGCAGAGGTAAGTGTAGTGGCCGTCACAAAGGAGAAGGTGGTCAAGAAGCTGAAGTTAGATAAATCAACCGGACCAGATGGACTACACCCCAGAGTTCTGAAGAAGATGGCTGAGGAAATTGTAGTTGCATTGCTGGTGACCTTTCAAGAATCGCTCCTAGAAGGCTGGAAATAGCTAATGTACCACCTGATTTAAGAAGGGAGGGAAGTAGAAGACAGGAACCTATAGGCCAGTTAGCCTGACCTCTGTTATTGATAAGATTTTAAAGTCCCTTATTGAGGAAGAGATTGCAGAGTACTTGGAAGCGTTTGGTAAAATAGGGCAGAGTCAGCATTACCTCATCAAGAGGAGTTCATGGCTGAAAAATCTGTTGGAATTTTTGAGGAGGTAATCAGTAAATTAGACAAAGGAGATCCAGTGTATGTGATCTATTTGGATTTCCAGAAGGCTTTTGACAAGGTGCTACACTTTGTTGCACAAAGGTAGTTGCTAAATAAGACCCCATGGTGTTAATGGCAAGATACTGGCATGGATAGAGGACTGGCTGACTGACAGAAGGCAGGGAGTAAGGATAGAGGTGTCTTTTTCAGGATGGCAGCTGGTGACCAGTGGAGTTGCGCAGAGGTCTGTGTTGGAACCAGGACTATTCAAGCGACACATTAATGACCTGGTCAAAGGAACTGAGGGCATTATTGCTATGTTTGCACATGACACAAAGATAGGTGAAGAGGCAGGCAGTGTTCAGGAGGTAAGGAAGCTGCAGAAGGACTTGTGCAGGCTAGGAGATGGGCAAAGAAGTGGCATATGGAGTACAGTGTAGGAAAGTCTGAGTTTACATACTTTGGTAGGAAGACTAGAGGGGTAGACTATTTTCTAAATGGGGAAAGACTTGAGGAGTCCTGGTTCAGGATTCTCTTAAGGATTCTCTTCAAGTTCAGTTGGCAGTTAGGAAGGCAAATGCAATGTTAGCATTCTTTCAAGAGGACTAGAATATGAGAAGGGATGTACTGCTGAGGCTGTATAAGGCTCTGGTCAGAATTTATTTGAATATTGTGATCAATTTTAGGCCATATTTAAGGTAGGATGTGCTGGAATTGAGGGGGTCTAGAGGAGCTTTACGAGAATGATCCCGGGAATGAAGGGCTTGTCATATGAAGAGCATTTGAGGACTCTAGGTCTGTATTTGATGGAGAAGGATGAAGGGAGATAAGAATGAAACTTACAGAATATTGAGAGGCCTGGATAGAGTGAATGTGGATAAGATGTTTAGAAACTAGGACACAAGGGCACAGCCTCAGAGTGAAACTGATCCCTTAGAACTAATATGAGGAGGAATTCCTTCAGCCAGCGGGTGGTTAATCTGTGGAACTCACTGCTACCAGGGCTTTCGAGGCCAAATCATTGAGTGCATGTAAGACAGATAGGTTCCTCATTAGGGAGGGAATCCAGAGGTACAGACAGAAGGCAGGAGAATGAGTTTGAAAAATATATCAGCCTTGATCAAATGACAGAGCAGACTTGATGGGCTGAATGGCCTAATTCTGCTCCTGTGTCTTATGGTCTCATACATAGAGACTCACTAATAGGCATGTATGCACACAGCCCTACTAACCGGCAGACACACAAATTCTAGACACACAAACACTAATAGGCAGGCAGACACACAAACAGACACTTACGTAGCCATGCACACACTGTCACTAACACAGACAAACAGACACACACACAGAAACTGGGTGGGAATGTGAACTGTGAGGAGAATGCAAAGGTGTTTCAGCACGCTTTGGACAAGTTGAGTCAGTAGGCAAATGCATGGCAAATGCAGTACCATGTGGGAAAAATGAGAGATTACCCATTTTGGTAGGACAAACAGGAAGGCGAGTTATTATCTAAATAGTGATAGATTGGGACAAGGGGTAGGGGCAACGAGACCTGGGTGTCCTTGCACACCAGTTGCTGAAAGAAAGCTTGCAGCATAGTGCGGCATGGTGGCTCTGTAGTTAGCACTGCTGCCTCACAGCACCAGGGATCTGGGCTCAATTCCAGCCTCAGACAACTATGTGTGGAGTTTACAGATTCTCCCCATGTTTGTGTGGGTCTTCTCTGGTCTTCAGTTTCCTCCCACAGTCCAAAGTTGTGTACGTTAGGTGGATTGGCCATGCTTAATTGCCAATTTTGTCCAGGGATGTGCAGGCTAGGTGGGTTAAACATGGGAAATGTAGGGTTACAGGGAAAGGATAGGAGGTTGGGTCTGGGTGGGATGCTGTTCGGAGGGTTGGTGAGGACTCAATGGGCTGAATAGCCTGCTCCCACACTGTTGGGATTCTACAATTCTAGGTGCAGCAGGTTGTGAAGAAAGCAAATGGTATGTTAGCCTTCACAGCGAGAAGATTCAAGTACAGGAGCAGGGATATCTTACTGCAATTGTATCCAGGCCTTGGTGAGTTGTCATCTGCAGTACTGTGCGCAGTTTTGGTCTCCTTATCTGAGAAAGAATCTTCTGCCTTTGCAGGGAGTGCAATGAAGGTTTACCGGACTGATTCCTTGGATGCCAGGACTGACAATATAAACAGGCAGTCTGGATTAGTTAGGACTATAATCACTGGAGTTTAGAAGAATGAGGGGAGATCTCATAGGAATCTATATAATTCTAACACGACTAGACTGGATAAACACAGGAAGGATGTTCCAGATAACCAGGGAATCCAGAACCTGAGGGTCACTGTTTAAGGGTTGCCCATTTAGGTCTGAGTCATAGTCATAGAGCTGTACAGTGCAGAAACAGACCCTTTGGTCCAATTCGTTCATGCCGACCAGATATTCCAAATTAACCTAGTCTCATATGCCAGCATTTGGCCCATATCCCCTAAACCCTTCCTATCATGTGCACAACCAGATGCCTTTTAAATTTTGTAATTGTACCAGCCTCCACTACTTCATCTGGCAGCTCAGTCCATACACGCACCACCCTCTGTGTGAAAAACATGCCCCCTGGGTCCCTTTTATACCTTTCCTCTCTTACCTTAAACTATGCCCTCTAGTTTTGAATTCCCCTACCCTGGGAACAAGACCTTGGCTATTCACTTTATCCATGCTCCTCATGATTTTATAAACCCATCAGCCTCTGACACTTCAGGGAAAATTGCCCTGGCCTATTCAGTCTCTCGTGAAAGCTCGAAGCCCCCAACCGTGGCAACATATTTGTAAATCTTTTCTGTACCCTTTCAAGTTTAACAACATCTTTCCTATAGCAGAAAAGCTAGAATTGAATGCAGTATTTCGGAATTGGTCCAACCAACGTCCTGTACAACCACAACATGACATCCCAACTCCTATACTCAATGCACTGACTAATGTAAGCAAGTGTACCAAACACCTTCTTCACCACCCTGTCTACCTGTGATTCCACCTTCAAAGAAGTATGAACCTGCACCCCAAGGTCTCTTTGTTCTGCAACACTCCTCAGGATCTTACCACTAAGCGTACAAATCCTATATTGAATTGCCTTTCCAAAATGCAGCACCTCACATTTATCTAAATTAAACTCCATCTACCATCTGAAATGAGGAAAAATGTCTTCACTCTCTCGTGGTTAGCCTGTGGAATTGCCTGCCAAGGAAAGCGGTTCAAGACTAACATTGAATATTTTCAAGGAGTTAGATACAGTTCTTAGAGCTTAGGGCTAAAGGGATCAAAGGGTATAGGGGGAAAGTGGAAATAGCAGATTGAGTTGGATGATCAGTCGTGATAATTTTGAATGGCAGAACAGACTTGAAA